TTTTATCATATAAACAATAATAAGCACATTAAGGTTTGCAAAGATTGTAGATGTTGTCTCATTTGATCCTCACAACCCGAGGAGGTAGGTGCTATTATTATCAACCTTTTACAGAGCTGTTAAGTAACTTGCTAGAGTTGATTGTATTTTGAGAACCTTTGTTTTTTGGGATAAAAATTTCTCATGGTTGTGGAAGAATTTTGTGTTATTTGAATTTCCTTTCTTTTATATTTGAAATTGTCCAATTTAACTATTATGTGCCTTGAAATTGAAGTGTGGGTTTTGATATTTTTTTCCTGGACATAATGTATGGAATCTCTTTATTGATGTTTTGTTATATGTATTAAGAAATTCTGAGGAATTTTCATGTAGTATTTCCTGAATTGTGGTATTCAGGGTATTTTTCTCATATTCTCCTGGGAAACTTATGATCTTTAAGTTATGCCTGAATACTCTCTTTTCAAAATGAGTTGCTATGAGACTATAGAATTTGTTTTTTCCTTTAATGTTGTTGCCTTTTGATTTTTCTGGTAGGTTTTCTTCCAATTGAGTATATTTTTTCCTATTCCTTTTGCTCTCTTTCACTTCTTTAGGAATATTTTTGATTCTGGATTAATTTTTTTCTAATGTGTCAATTGAGTTTTAAAATTCTGCACTGAAAGCTCTAATCAATGACCTACATAAATTCCTATTTCTTTTATGAATTTAATTTCATTTTTAAAATTATTTTTGTGTTTTCTGTTACATATTCTTTTGGGAGTACTTTGGGATTTTTTATTTTCTAGGCATTAATTCATTTCCCTTTTTATTATATTTGTTAAGAAGAGTTGGTATTATCTTTGATAGTTTAGCATTCATCCTCACTTCCTGTTTTAGCATCCTCTCTGTTGATTTAATTTCTTGTGTTCTGGGCTTTTATTGAGGTGTTTTCCCCTGAAATATTTGGTATTCCTTTTTTTTTTTTTTTGCATTCTCTAATCACTAACTTTTTGATCACTCTCCTTTTCTGATGGGAGTATACCCCCAAAGCTGGGTTGAAAAGCTGCCTTGTTTCTTGCCCTGAGTATTCTCTGAGGGGACAAAAATGACCTCTGGTGGTCTTCAGTTTCCTCTCTTTCAAGTTTGACACAACTGACTATGTTGTCTAATTCCTATGTTGGCTATCCCTTGTTTCTCATAGCTAATCTGACCCAGCACCTGCCAAGTTCTGTGGGATGATGTATAAAGAGGAAGGGTATTCCAGGTAAATCCTTCAGAGCCTTGGGATTTCCCAGTCCATGCCTTGCCCTGATCAAAAGGTAGTATTCTTTCACTGTATGAAAATGAGAAGGCTTTTTGTTATATATCAAGTCACCAGGTAATTCACTCCAGAGGGAAACCTCATCAACGTAATGAGTGTGGGAATGATTTCCATCTAAGTAGATTTTTTTTTCTTTTGCTGTCTATCAAAAAAATCCATAGTGGAGAGTAAACTTCATATATTAAATAAGAAATGGCCTTCAATTACAAAAGTGATTTTATTTAATATCATAGTGAAAGAGTATGTAATTAACTACATGAATGTGATGGATCTGGGAAGCGTTTCAGCAAGAGATACAATCTTTGATTGAAAGTTAGTAATGGAAACTAGAAGAAAACCTTATAGTTGAAGGAATTTTCTCATTTTTTACTGTGGCTTTTCCAAACCCATTTGTTAATCCTCAAGTCCCTGGCCATTTCCCTCCATTATTAATCATATTTGCAACAGCTGATTTTGCCATAGCATTCTCAGGAAATTAAGGGTCTCTGCAACAGGTCCTTAATTCCACCTCTCACAAATTCTCAGAATCATTAACCACTTTGTTCTTCTTTTATTCATAGAAGAAAAGCTATGCCTGCTTCTTACTAAATCTATTTTTTCTTCTCCCTAGATCTCATTCCCACTTCCTTACTCTAGCAATCATTCCTTTTACCTGCTGACTCATTTGCATAGGGCTTTCCCTGCCATGCCATAGAAACCTCTTTACCTTGGAAACTTATTCCACCCCTGGACTATTTTTCACACTGGAAGTAGTCTGTGCTCCTCAGACTTCACCTTTTGGTTGACTGATTCCTCTCCATATCTTTAAATCGAGGAGAAAAACTTGGGCAAAATGCCTTCATGTCTCTCAAGGTTACAATGCTGAATCATCTCCATTAGACTTTATCTTGTCACCTTGCATGGTAACTTCTTGCCACCCTCTCCTTTTCAGCTCTCTTTTATATGCATTGTCTCCTCTCATTAGATAGAAGCTCCTTGAGGGCAAGGGCTGACTTTCCACTTTTTTTAAAAAATTCCCAGTGCTTAATAAAGTGCCAGGCACATAGTAAGTACATAATAAATGCTTGTTAAGTGATGGACTAATTTTAATTGTCTTCATTCTTTGCTTTAGTCACATATGACTGGCAGAATCTATTTCTGTTGTTCTTTGGAGAGGGGATGGGTTTTACCAGAATATCAGCAGTGGAGAGGGGTGCACCTAGGTGGCATAGTGGATAGAGTACAGGCCTAGAGTCAAGAAAACTCATCTTCTTGAGTTCAAATCTGGCCGCAGATATTTACTAGCTACGTGACCCTGGGCAAATTGTTGAACCCAATTTGCTTCAGCTTCTTCATCTGTAACATGAGCTGGAGAAGAAATGGCAAACCACTCTAGTATCTTTGCCAAGAAAACCCCAAATGGGGTCAGGAAGGATCAGACACAACTGAAAAATGACTAAATGACAATAACAGCAGAGGGGGGTGAGGCAGACAACAGGGATCCTAAAATATATATTAGTCAAAAACCCATTAGTTAACATATTCTCTTCTCTTGGGGTATGTGGAGACTGGGGTGGTGGAGTGAAGTTGCTAATTGAACACTTTACACTGGTTCAGAATTCTTTGTTTTAGAGGATTAGAAAGTTAAGGTATTTTAGAGAAAGTGACTAATTAGTCATCTTGCTGGTCATGTGATGCTATCTTATATGATTCTCAATTCAATTAACTTTTCCTTTATTAATTTAATCTCTATGCCATTAGGTGCATAGATGTTTAATGATTATTATTTCAGTGTCACTAATACCTTTACATCTTCTGTTTCTTTCTTTAATCATTTATGATGTTCCCTCGTTTGTCAGATACAAATGCTCCAACTCTAAGATCCGTATAGGTAACAAGTAGAATTTAAGCTTACTTTTTCTGACCATCAAATGCATTGTCATTTTCATTAGGCCATGTTTACCCTACATATTGTAATTTTCTGCATATTGTAATACATCTGTTATTTTTCATTTTTATAAAAAAAATCTCATGTAAATTAGACTGATTTTTAAAAAATACATGATGACTTTCTCTTAGTTGCTTGCGAATAATTTCCTGGTCATTGTGGTCTTGAAATTCTAAAATAATCCCAGGATCTCAGAGTTAGAAGGAACCTTAGAGGCCACCAAGTCCAACCTATACTAAAATAAGAATCTCCTTTAAGGCATACCAGCCAAGTGGTCATCTAGCTCCTGTTTGAAGACTTTCATTGAAGAGGGTCCCAAGGCATCTCATTCTACTTTTGGATAACTCTAATTCTTAGTGTGTGGGATGCCACTCAAATTAAAAAACAAAACACAGAGGTATCCGAGAAGAAATGGAAAGTTAACTTATTATAATTATTTCAAATCTCAAGATTTGGGTGTCCCTCCACCAGTATGTTATGATGAGGGGAGACAGACACAGAGACAAAGAAGCAGATTTAAATAGCCCTAATGGGTAAAGTCCCCTCCCACCAGCTGTCCATTAACTCAGCTCACAATCTCACACACGAGACTCTACCATAGAACAAAGGAAATAGTATACATCTCTATATTTCTTAGTTTGTTGATATAATGTCAAAGAAGCAATTAAAAATGTACAGTCAAGCTAGACTTTGTACTGTGGAGCCAGGCCACCATGACAGAAAGATAGTCTACAACTGTATTGGAAGGTCTGAGAGATTGAACAGACAATGGGAATAGATAATGGAGGGAACTGGAAGGTATCTGAGTAAGGTCCTTTCAAAGGGAGATAAGGGGAGTAGATAAGGAGCCTTTTAAGGGTTTTCTGGGGCCTGTAGACAAACAGGAGGAGTGAGGGGCAAAGGCGCATCAGAATAAGATTAAAAGGTAGGCTAAGGCTTAACAACTAGATAAATTTTAACTACTGATATATGGCACTAAAAAAAGAACTTACAGAAATCTATACTTAACCCTATCCTACCTCCTGAACTTATTACCAAATTTAGGATGGTCTTATCCCAAACCTTAATTACACTGAGAAGTCTTCACTGGGACATCCCATTCATTAGGAACCAAGTTTCCTAACACCAAGCCAAAATTTACTTCTTTGCAATTTATGTACATTATTCTTAGCTCTACCCCCTGGGAACAAACAGAACAAGGCCAATCCTCCTTCCACATGAAAGGCCATCAAATAACCCATCCTCTCTAAGTCTTGTCTTTTCCAAGGTAGATGATCTTTCAATCAATTGTCATATAGTATGAATTAGAAATCTTTCATCATTCAGATTGCCTTCCTTTGGATCAGGTTCATGTTCTCAATGTCCCTATTGCACTCAAGATTATACATTTGCTCTGCCTATAATGGAATAGAATGGGACTATTGTTTCTTTGGTCCTGGACTCCATGATTCCCTTTAATGCAATCTAAAAGGTTTTTTTTTTCCTATTGGGAGTCTTTTAAACTAGTGAAAGGAGGACTCATATAATTATAGACCTTATAACACAACCTTTTGAAATATATTTCTTTTTTGAATGGGTATCTAGAAGAGTTGGAGATTTAAAGTGTCAAAGTGTCAGACCTGGAGTCAGGAAGACTTGAGTTCAAATCTGGCCTCACACACTTACTAGCTGTGTGACCTTGGGCAAGTCATTTAACCCCATTTGCCTCAGTTTCCTCATCTGTAAAATGGGCTGGAGAAGGAAATGGCAAACCACTCCAGTATCTTTGGCAAGAAAACCCCAAATGGGGTCATAAAGAGTCAGATATGATTGAAAAGACTGAACAACAACATCTAGAAGAGTTACTGCCAATGATGGATAGATAGCAGGATTGTGGAAGGGAAAAGTTTCATTCTAAGGTTCCACAGAAGCCTCATCTCCCCTCAGGGTTAAGGATGAGAAGTGATGGCACAGAAGGAAAGTTGCTAACATATTGACACTAAAGAAAGGCTCTTGCAATTTTTTTTTAATTCTACCCTTCTATTTTACAGGCAAAGAAAATGAGGCCCATAAGGAGAAATACATTTGCTTGTGTTCACACATTTAGTAAGTGGTACATCTGGAACTAGAACCCAGGTCTCCTGAGTTCCAATGCAGTGCTTGAATCTCCAAGGTCATATACTTTTTTTTTGGGGGGGGGGGTTGTTGCTTGTTTTCCTTTTGTTGTGCTCCTACAAAGAAGAACAGCTATTCAAATGACTGACCTTTATTACTTCAGAACCTTCTTAGTGAATAAATCCATCTTTTTCTCTTTCTGCCGTGTCAGCTACTATAAAATCAAAATGTGCAACACACTTAAGAACTCAGAGAGAAATATCATTACTTTACATGATGATATAGCCTAGCACAACCATGTAACATTTCAGTTCACTTCAGCCAGTCATGTCCATGCTCTTCTTCACAATCAGCCTCTGGAGTGAGGGGAAAGAACAAGATACTGTCTATTTACTGAGATCAAGTAGAAAGAGGAAGGAAGCTTGGCAGAAGGGAAGACTTGGAAGATTCTGTGGGTGTATGTGTCAAGAACAAGGATAAAGAGGAAGGGCATAGACAGAAAGAGAAAGATGCAGACAATACTAGAGGTAGGAGGGACTTAAAAATTATTTACTTCCATTTCTCCATTTTACAGATGAAGAAAATGATTTCTGGAGCAACATGTCTGTTCTGTGGTCTTGAAGCTCTGTGGCTTATGCTGTGACATCAGATGCCAATGAAAATGGCATCAAGTCAGGATTAGGATCAGGCTCAGGATCAGGCCCAGGCTCAGGATCAGGCCCAGGATCAGGTTCAGGATCAGGTTCAGGTTCAGGTTCAGGTTCAGGATCAGCTTCATCATCGGACTTAGCCTTAGACTCATCATCAATACCAGCCTTTGCAGGGTATTTGGATGCCAAGATCCTCTCCTTTTCAATGAGGAAATGGAGTTGCTTCTGTGTCAAAACCAACAAGGCCGTGTCCACAACAAATAGAATTCCAATCATCAGCGGGATCAGGAATTGCATAAGGCTGATAGTACCTACAGAAAATTTGAGAGAGGCAGACAAATGAAACAGGCCTCTAGTCTAAAAATCAAAATTTGAAAATGATAATTGAATGAGACTCAGAATTTTCTGTCCCTCACTTTTAGTTCTACAGAGTCTTAAGATGAGTAGGAGGAATGAAGAACAGGAGGGAGGCACTCATGATGGTTGGGAGGTAATATGGATTCTCTTCCAATAAAACTCCTCCTCTCCATAAACTAGCCACTTTTTAAACCAAAAATTGGGAACCTGGGTTTCACAATCAATCAATCAACAAAAAGTTATTAAGACCTACTGTATTCTAGGCACCATCCTAAGCCCTGGGAAGGAAAAGACTGAAGTGAATCATCCCGTTCCTTTGAGAAGCTTATACTTTATCAGGAAAGATGAAGTAGGAGATGATACTAACATCTAGGGAGATAAGAAAAAGCCCCATGCTAAAGATGGGACTCAGGTATAGTCTTGAATGAGACTAAGGATTCTAAGGGGCAGAGGAGGACATTCAAGACATGGGAGAAAGCTAATACAAAGGCATGAAGAGGAAGAGCGAAAAAACAAAAAACCAAATTGATTTGACTGAAGGAAGCAGGAGGTGGAGTAATGTAGGAAAAGGGATAGGGGTAAAGCAATAAACGGCATTAAATGTCAAGCTGAGGAGTCTATATTTGGTCCTAGAAATAATAGAGAGACACCAGAGTTTATTGGGTAAATGGATGAAATGCCCAGATTTGTGATTTAAGAAAATCACTCAGGAAGTCATGGTGGGTAGGGGTGGGGATAGATTGGATTACACAGAGATAAGGAGGTAAGTCCAATGAGAAGGTTAATAATGCAATAATCTGGGTGAGAGATATTGAGTACCTGAGTTACGATGGGTTTCAGGAGAGAGGGGGAATATATGTAAGAAATCTTGTGTATAGAAATGATAAAATTTGGTAACTAATTTGACAACTACACATTAAAGAAACAAGGATATTCCAGGTTTCACATTTGGATGACTGGAAACATGGTGGTACCTTTGAAAGAAATATTAAAGTTGGATGAAGAGGATTGGGTTTGGAGGAACACTTGAGTTCCAATTTGGACATGTTGAATTTAAGATATCTGAGGGATATCTAGTTTGAAATCTCTAGTAGCCAGTTGGTAATCCCTAGGTGGAGCTCAGTATAGACAATAGGGCTGAACATAATAATCTAGGATTCATTTACAAAGAAATGGCAATTAAATCCATGGGAGCTTATGAGATCATCAAATGTGAGAATGTAGAGAAAAAAGAAAATGGGGCCCAGAGACAACTAGATCATTGAAGTACAGCTAGGAGGAATGATGAATACATTGAAATACATTTAGGGGGCATGATGTGGATACAACAATCCAGCAAAGGAGACTGAAAAGTAGCAGGATGGGAAAAAAGAGAGAATAATGTCACAGTATTGAGGAGAGGAGAAGTATTCAAGGGCAAAAGATGGCCAATAGAGCCAATTGATTTGCAAGGGGTAAGAAGAATGATGACTAGGAAAAGGTCATCAGATTTGACAATTAAGTGGCCATTGATAACTTTCAAGAGAGTGTTTTAATTTGAGACAATATTTGAAGCCAAATTATGAGGGCCTGAGAAATAAGTGAAAGGAAAGGAAGTGGAGGTACCAAATTTAGAAGACTTTCTCATGGAGTTTAGCTGAGAAGAGGAGAAAAGTTGCAGGAAAAAAAATAACTACAGGGTACGGTGGTATCTTGTAAAGGTTTTTAAGAATGGTTAAAACAGGCACATTTGTAGATATCAGGGAAGGAATATATAAATAGAGACAAGTTTAGAGAGAAGCAACAGAGTAATGATAAGAGCTAATATTTGGATGCTTTATATATCTTATTTTATCTTCAAATTAGCCCCATGAGGAACTTATCCTAAGTGTATAGATGGTTGAGAAAGAGAGTAAGTGACTTGCCTGAGGTCATGCAGGTAGGAAATGTCTGAGACAGGATGGATTTGAACTCAAGTATTACTGACTCCAAGTCCAACATTCTGTCCAATGTGCCTATTAGCAGCCTCAATCGTAGATGCAGTTTGTTGGGGAAGATGGAAGGGAATAGGATTAAGGACAATTGTGGCAGTGTTGACTTTTTCAAAGGGTAGGGCTACCTGATCGTCAGAGACAGGGAGTAAAGGAGGAGAGGATAGTGGGGGGAAGGTGAAGTTGATGGGGTCTGAGTTACACAATGAAGGGGAAGAGAGAGCTCACAATGAATGTGTCCTCTATTTTTTCAGTAAGATACAAATTCCTCATAAGAGGCTTGAGGATAGAAAAAATTTTGGAATGTCCATTCAGGGCAGTAGTAAAAAGAATAAGCCAGGGTTCAGCAAAAGGACTGTTTTGTTACAAAGGCCCAATAAAGATTAGATAACAAATTCATAGTAGACCCAGTCAACTCAGTTGTGTGACTTGATCCAACTCTATCCAGCAACATGCTAAGTAAGGGAAGAGAAAGATGAAGAGAGTAACCTAGGGCTGATGTTTGGCAAGGTGTGATTACCAATAGGAGTAGAAGCAAGGAATGGAGAATAAGTGATTGAGTAGTTAATTTAAGTGGTTAACTTGAGTGGCTAACTTGAGAGTCAAGATCCAGAGGGAATAAAGTAAAGCCAGTGCAGGAATGATGGCCTTGGAAAGAACTAATGAATATAAGGTCTGAAAGTTATGGTAAGGATGAAAATAACCTAAGTTCAGGGAGAGTAAATCATGGGAAAAGATGGACTAAGTGTTGGTTGTGATTTTATAGAGGAATTTCAGAGTTCTTGATCATAGAAGTGGAACTTGTATGGGTGATGGCAAGATCAAAGGTGTGACCAATCCTGATATGGACTAGACTCTATTCTACACCAACAAATCTAACAAACAAGTCTAACAAATCTTTTTACTAAAGGGATTTGTTCTGTGAAGTTTGGATTCAGTCAAAGGGACACACTTGAGGACCTAGAGGACCACATGTAGCCTTGAGGCCTCAGGTTTTCCACCCCTGAACTAGAGAAATAGATCATGAAAACTGGGTAGACAAAGGGGTATTTTTAAGAGACATTGAAAGTACATATTCTTTTTTCTTCAAATTGTGACTGTCCCACATAATCTAGGCTATGTGGCTTCCAAAATGACCCACTACTAACCTAAGGGGTTTTTACAAGGTAAGTTAGAAGTGACTAGGACTCCAAGATCTAAAGAAGAAATGGGCAGAGGAAATGGGTTAAGACTACTTAAAATAAGGGGCAGAACAATCCATTTAAAGTTAATTAGCTATTAATTGGCCTGTTGGTGGATTAATCAACAAATAACTCAGCCAAATATTTACTGGGTCCACACTATTTTAAAATAGGAAGGTTGGCATAGGTGACCATTAAGTTAGTTTCTAGCTCTAACATTATGTATGTTAGATTTTACGTACAAGGCACTAGTCTCAATAAACCTCGAATTTGGTGTGGATAATGTCCGCAAAACAGATCAGAATAATGCCCAAAGTGCTAGGTAGAGTTTCTAGGGGCTCCTTTAGCTTCCTGAGAAAATGTAACAAGGGTAAATTTCCCCGTAGATATTAGAATTAACACAAATTGCCTTCTGGGAGAGGCCTGTTCTGCTTCCTTTCCACCCTCTGTCTCCACTGACACTCCACTCTTGCCACCCAAATAGTGACTTCGAATGTCAATTCAGATCTTTACTCCCTGAAGTTTGAGATACCCTTCTGAATCCTAGAGTCTTTTATTAGCTATTTTTCTGGGCCCTGATTATAAAGAGTTCCTTACTTTGATGCTTACCTTTTTCAGCTTTGAAATCAAGATAGAGACTCTCTGAAGTGTAGATTATGTCCCGTCGTTTGCCAGTGCAGTGGTAGTAGCCTTTATTGTTTCTTGTAACAAAAGGAATGGAGAAGTTGTGGTTCTCATACCAGTATTTGAGAGGTTTATTATTATGGTAGAAAATCACCTTGTAGATAGGTTGGTTCTTCCAACTATGGCAACTCAGAAGTAAGGGTTCTCCCTCTTTTATGATCGTAAGTGAGGCTTGGAGAAGCAGCCAGTCTGAAAGCAGCATTGGAAAAAACCTCAGGGGCTTTTCTGTAGTTTTGACATACCCTCCCTCTCCCTGCAGTATTGGAAGAATGGAAAGGTTGGGGGAGATGGGGACAGAGTAGAATCTTTGATTTTTCTTCCAGAGATACAACTAAACCAGTCCTTTTAAACTTTTTAGTACAATGGATCTTTTTGGCCCTGTGGTGAATCCTAGGGAACCCTCCTTTCAACCTCTCTTCAGAATTAAAAAAAAACATTACTATTAAAAAACTTTGATCTATGGATTCTTTAGTCTGGGTCAGGACCTATATCTTGAGCCCATTTTAACCGTTTCTCCCCCAAGCTAAGCTACAGATTATTCAGGCACACCAAGCCCTCACTGGGAGTCTCAACTTGTGGGAAAGTCTATTTTATCCTCTTCTATTCATCCATGAGTATTTCATAATTCCTCCCTTCTTCCTTTTTATAGTCTATTCAAAGTACAGGACCATGATTAGACAACCATCCACACTGGGACACTCTTTCCTGGTCACCACCAACACATGTTCTACTTCCAGCCCAAATCCCACAGCTAATCATCATGTGCAGTAATCCCTGTGGAGATGTGACCTGGCATTTGCTCTCAGGATGCTGGAATTCCTGCTTCTTTAGCAACCGCAGTTACCAAAGACCCAGAAAATAAAGTTCAGCTCTTGGCATTGTCAAACGGTTCAATGTCAGAAATGGATATGATTTTCAGTAGAAATGACATCAGAGAATATGCATTACCATCTGTTTTGCCTTTGCATCGTATGTATCATGGGACCTTGCCATATGATTTGCTGCTGAAACCTTCTGTTTGTTATCATACCCATTAGAATGTAAGTTCCTTTCACTATTAGACAAAAACTTCTGGGAAAACTGGAAAACAATATGGCAGAAACTAGCTATAAACCTATAGTGTCTTATACTATATAGCAAGAGAAAGTCAAAATGGGTGCATGATTTAGACATAAAGGTTGGTACCGTAAGCAAATTAGGAGAACAAGGAATAGTTTACCTGCCAGGTTTGTGGAGAAAGGAAGAATCTGTGACCAATCAAGAAACAGATAGCATTATGAAATATAAAATGGATTATTTTGATTACATTAAATTAAAAAGGGTTTGCACAACCAAAATCAATGCAGCTAATATTAGAAGGAAAGTAGAAAATGGAGAAACAATCTTTATAGCAAATATTTCTGATAAAGGCCTCATTTCTCAAATATATAGATAACTGAGTCAAATATATAAGAATGCAAGTCATTCCCCAATTGATAAATGGTCAAAGGATGTAAGTAGACAGTTTTCAGATGAAGAAATCAAAGTTAGTTATAGTCATATGAAGAAATGCTCTAAATCACTACTGATTAGAGAAATTCAAATTAAAACTCTGAGGTACCACCTCACATCTATCAGGTTGGCTAATATGACAAAAAAGGAAAATGATGAATGTTGGAGAGGATATGGGGAAAAGTGGTACACTAATACACTATTGGTGGAGTTGTGAACTGATCCAATGATTCTGGAGAGCAATTTGGAACTGTGTCCAAAAAGCAATCAAACTATGCATACACTTTGATCCAGCAATACCACAACTATATCTGTATCCCAAAGAGATCACAAAAAGTGGAAAAGAACCTACTTGGACAAAACTATGTATAGCAACTCTTTTTGTAGTGGCAAAGAATTGGAAATTGAGGGAGTATCTATCAGTTAGAGGATGGCTGAACAAGTTGTGGTATATGAATGTAATGGAATACTATTGTGCCATAAGAAATGATGAGTAGACAGATTTCAGAAAAACCTGGAAAGGCTTACATGAACAGATGCAAAGTGAAGTGAGCAGAGCCATAGAAACATTATATACAGTATTAGCAACATTGTGTGATGATCAACTATGAACAACTTAGCTCTTCACAGCAATACAATGATTCAAGACAATTCCAAAAGACTCATGATGGAAAATGTTATCCACATCCAGAGAAAGAACTGATGGAGTCTGAATGCAGATCAAAACACAGTATTTTCACTTTTTTTTTTTACGGTTCTTTTCTTTTGGCTGGTTTCTTTTACAACCTGACTGATATGGAATTATGTTTTACATGATTGCATATACATAGCCTATTTAAATTGCTAACCATCTAAGGGAGAGAGTGAGATAATTTGGAACTCAAAATTTCAAAAAATGAAAGTTAAAAATTGTATTTATATGTAATTGGAAAAAATACTATTAAAAAAGAATTTTGAATTCCTTGACAGCAAGATTGTCTCACTTATCTATTTGCATTCTTAGTGCTTATAACCACGCTTTGCTTATACTAATTAATTAATGCTTTTTCATTCATTTATTCATTCATTCACTCATTCTTTCATTGCTAGGACAAGGGGTGGGAATACAAGGATGAGTCTTATTATATAAACTCCTTAAGAGCAGGGCCTGTTTTTACCTTTCTTTACTCAAATTTTGAAACTTTTTATGTTCATGGCACATAGTAAACCCTTAATAAATGCTTATTGCTTGAAACTTGTAGAGACTAGTGACATCTCAGATAATGGCAGAACTGCATCATGTTGAAGTTGGAAGAGACTTCACAGTTGAAACTGCATTGGAACAAACACTTCCCCCATGATATACCCAACCGGTTGTCATCTGATCTTTGACTAAAGACTTCTAAGTGCCTCCTGAGATAGCATTGGGATACCTATAATTTTTAAGAAATTTTTTCTTATATGAAGCTTCACTATTCCTCTTTCACCTTCATTTCTATTATTTTTTATTACTTTATTTTGATTTATCAACAATCACTTCCATATGCTTTTGAGTTGAAATTTTTTTCTCCCCCTTTCTCCCCTCCACCCTCCCTAAGACGGCACACAATATGATATAGGCTTTACATTTACATACCCATTAAACATATTTTCACATTAGTGAAGTTGTAAGTAAAATTAAAATCAATAGGAGGAACCATCAGAAAGATGAAACAAAACTCAACAGAAGGTAAAAATAAGTGATAGCTATTCAACTTCCATAGTTCTTTCTTTGGATGTGGACAGCATTTTCCATCACGAGGCCTCTGGAGATGTCTTAGATCATTGTAATGCTGAGAAGGATTCAGTTTAACAATATTAGTCAATGCATAACATGGCTGTTATTGTGTACAAAGTCCTCTTTGTTCTTCTCACTTCACTCAGCATCAGACCATGTAAGTTTTTCTGAAGTCAGCCTGTCCATCATTTCTTATAGCACAACAGTATTCCATTACATTCATATACCACAACTTGCTCAGCCATTCCCCAATGGATGGGCATCCTCTCAATTTCCAATTCTTTGCCACCACAAAAAGAGCTGCTATGAATATTTTTGTACATGTGGGTCCTTTTCCCATTTGTTTGATCTCTTTGGGATATAGCCCTAGAAGTGCTATTGCTGGATCAAAGGGTATGCACATTTTTGTAGCCCTTTGGGCATAGTTCCAAATTGTTCTCCAAAATGGTTGGATCATTTCACAACTCCACCAACAATGTATTAGTGTTCCAATTTTCCCACATCTTCTCCAACATTTATCATTTTCCTGTTTTGTCATGTTGGCCAATCTGATAGGTGTGATGTGGTACCTCAGAGTTGTTTTGATTTGCATTTCTCTAATCAATAATGATTTAGAGCATTTTTTCATATGACTATAGATGGCTTTAATTTCTTCATCTGAGAACTGTCTGTTCATATCCTTTGACCATTTATCAATTGGGGAATGGCTTTGTTCTTATAAATTTGTCTTAATTCTCTATATATTTTAGAAATGAGGCCTTTATCAGAGAGACTGGTTGTAAAAATTCTTTCCCAATTTTCTACCTTCCTTCTAATCTTAGTTGCATTGGCTTTGTTTGTGCAAAAACTTTTCAATTTAATGTAATCAAAATTATCCATTTTGCTTTTCATAATGTTCTCTATCTCCTGTTTGGTCATGAATTCTTCTGTTCTCCATAGATCTGATAGGTAAACTATTCCTTGTTCTCCCAGTTTACTTATGGTATCAGCCTTTATATCTAAGTCATGAACCCATTTTGACTTTATTTTGGTATATGGTGTGAGATTTGGGTCTATGCCTAGTTTCTGCCATACTCTTTTCCAGTTTTCCCAGCAGTTTTTTTCAAAGAGTGGGTTCTTATCCCAGAAGCTGGGGTCTTTGGGTTTATCAAATAATAGATTACTATAGTCATTGACTACTGTGTCTTGCATATTTAACCTATTCCACTGATCCACCTCCCTATTTCTTAGCCAGTACCAAGCAGTTTTGATGATTGCTGCTTTATAATACAATTTAAGATCTGGAATTGCTAGGCCACCTTCCCCTGCATTTCTTTTCATTAGTTCCTTTGATATTCTGGACCTTTTGTTTTTCCAAATGAATCTTGTTATTATTTTTTCTAACTCTATAAAATAATTTTTTGGTAGTTTGATTGGTATGGCACTGAATAAGTAAATTAGCTTAGGTAGGATTGTCATTTTTATTATATTAGCTCGGCCTACCCATGAGCAACTGATGTTTTTCCAATTATTTAGATCTGATTTTATTTGTGTGAAAAGTGTTTTGTAATTGTGTTCATAGAGTTCCTGGGTTTGTTTCAGGAGGTAGACTCCTAAATATTTTATAATGTCTACAGTAAGTTTAAATGGGATTTCTCTTTCTATCTCTTGCTGTTGGGCTTTGTTGGTAATATATAGAAATGCTGATGATTTATGTGGGTTTATTTTATAGCCTGCAACTTTGCTAAAGTTGTTTATTATTTCAAGTAGTTTTTTACTTGATTCTCTAGGATTCTCTAAGTATATCATCATGTCATCTGCAAAGAGTGATAGCTTTGTTTCTTCTTTGCCTATTCTAATGCCTTCAATTTCTTTTTCTTCTCTTATTGCTAAAGCTAAGGTTTCCAGTACAATATTGAATAACAGTGGTGATAATGGACATCCTTGTTTCACCCCCGATCTT